ATATATCGATGACACTATTGATATAGAGACAAAGATACTCGAAGGAGAATGATATTCTGTACTTTCTAAAAGTTTTTTCTGCTTTGTCAAGCGTCAAAAATTAACGTTCTATGTTTTGTTTTTCCTGACAAAAATAATTTTTTATATAAACTGTATACAGTGCTTCCACTGCATTTATCCATGGCAATTTTTTTTTCGGGAATAAATACGAAGATAAACTGTGAATAGGCTCTTGGTATCTCATCTATTTTTAAACTGGATTGCAGTAATGATTATTCCATTGACTAGAGAGGACTTTGTAAGAAATGGACTAAAGTCCACTTTAAAACATTGTAATGACGATTTCCCTAGAGCTCTTGAACTCATACTTTGTACTTTCTTTCTGTTGCTTCTTGAATTGTTTCATTCAATTGAGCATCGATTCTCCCCTCAAAGCTTTTAATTCTCGGCAAAGTTCAAACAGAATTGCTAGGAAAAACTTCTTTTACTCATATTTCGTTTTCATTTTGATTTCATATTATTCTTTTAGATTAAATGCTGTCTCAGATCGTCTTCGGCTATTTAAAGAAAAAATTAAAAAATGATGTAGTATTACCAATGCCATAATAGATAACAATAATAATTTAAAACTATCGTCGACATGTGAAATCAATCAAATTAGTTCCTTGTCATCTTTAAATATATTATCAACGATTGATAGTAGACTAGTAAAAGTAATACTATAATTCAAATGCTCGATCAACAACATCTTCAGCAACATCTTCAGCATTTTATGTGTTGAAAATTTTATTACAAATTAAAAAGAAATGATGAATAATATCAACTATTACTTTGTATTATTAAACTAACAACAAGTATGACTATTTGTCCATTGTGTAAATGCGTACTTGCATAAATTACAAAATATATCTATAAAAGAATAAACAAAATTGAAGACACTTAAGGTAACTCGAATAGCTGTGCAAAGAATTTAGTTAATTGATAATACATTATTTATTTAGACATCATTCAATATACTAGTGAATAAGAGCAAAAAAAGTCATGATTTTGATACGTATCATTGTCTTAAAGTTTCAGACCATAAACTACAATATTCAACACTATCTGGTACATTTCAATTATAAAATAATTTTGTAATCATATTGAATAAAACAAAACATAGGTGTAGATTCGATGTGATTTTAAAGTTTTGTACATTTGGAATACAGTGATTAATCAAAGTTGGTCGTTTATTGGAAATAATATTCAATCAGATTATAGTAATAATAACAATATATTACTGGATTAAAACTTAATTCTAGTATATATTTTGAACTATTGAACATCACTGGCTTTCTTGCAAGATAAAGTGTAGCATTTCATGGCGTTGACTGAATTATTTATTACTTTATAATGAAAGTACATATTTAGAAGAAACGTCAAGTATTCTACAGAACAAAATTCATTGTTTTCTCTAAAAACTTTTTATTTTTAGTATCAAAATTTGTATGGTTTAGAAATTGAGTTAGAACGCAGTATGGCATGATAAAAAAAAAACTTTTTGTTGTAAAATATTTCTGTACACAATATAGAAGTGCTCGTGTATTTGATTGATTACAAGTCTTGTACTTTTTTCCGATGATATATTCATATCTGTTTTTTAGACTAACTTACAAGGTTACTTCGATCGAATGAAGGGGAGATGATAGATTTTCACCTTTATTTTTTGTAAAAACTTCCAAAGACTTGTCCCTTTTTCGTAGAAGATGGAAGTTTGAGATTTATGTTTAAGATAGAATCGTTTGGAAAAAGGGCCTCCTGAAATTTTTTGTGTTTACAAAGTCTGAAAGTGTTTACAGAGTCTGAAAGCGGTGTGTTACAACTGCTGAAAATCGCCCTCCGTTTACAAAATCTGATTTTTTGGTGTTTATAAGCTAAAAATAGAGTTTACAAAATCTGGAAGCGGTGTTTACATGCACTGAATATCACCTTCTGGTGTTTAAAAACACTTAAAAAACCACTTTCATGCGCATTTTTTTCTTCTGACCAAAAACAATTTTTGTGATTTTTTTTCTGTCTCGAAGTTAGGTTACTATGTTGAGACAAGGTAGTTTGTATTTTATTTTCATCATTAACTTTTTATGGTTGGTTCGCTTTTTATTTCAAGCTGAGTTATTTTCGTGAGTTAAGCGTCACGCCCCCTAACTTGATGAAGTTCACTAAAGTTTATGAAAGTTTTTACATTTTCTACTCTAGAGGAGCAACTCTGACAAGCTTTTTGTTTACTATTTTACTGTATTTTCTGAAAATTTGAGAGAATACTTTTTTTAGATTCTGGGCTAAGAATAGTTCATTTTCTCTTTCAACTTAAGTTTATAACTTACCATTTTCTTTTTTCAAATGATTGATTATACAAGATGCCTGCAATACAAAAATGTTTAACATTAACATGGTTTATTATTTACCTTCTTTACCATTCACTGATCGCTGAATGAATGATTTTTAAACACAGTCTATATCTAGGATAGTGTTTAGCATTTATTGCTGCTAACTCAAAGCATCTAACAACTCTTGTGAGGTCTTCGTGAACTTTTTTGTGAAAGATTTGTTTCAGATTCTTTTTCGGTTCTGTGTAACTTATTCGACAGCAATTAAATGAGTATTTTTTTGTGTGTGTTGTTTATCATTATGCATGTTTTAATAGTTACATAACAGGGTGCTGTGTATAGATATAGAGAGATAGAGAAATACGTTTGCGTTTCTTATTAGACCTCGTGCTTAAAGTACATTTTCTCCGTTAAGTAGGCCTATACATAGCAGAAACTTTGCTATTTAGCATTTTCAACGAAAGAGAAAAGACTTATTCAGAAATTATTCAATGTTTGTAGACGAAAGATACTCGTCCGATATAAAAAGCGTTAATAAACAACAACAAAAAGCTCTCAATCTGAAGACTCGGACTGCAAAAAATACTTTTTATGCTCTGAGTTTATTCGCATAAACTGAATAAGAATTAAGCGCGCTATTATTAAGTACTTGTACACAAATTATCTATCTATCCATCGCTTAACGTTATTTGTACTGCTAAAGCAAAGACTGTTAGTTTCGCAACTATTTTTATATGGTCGGAGTTTTAAAAACTTGTGAAAATTTAAAATATATCCAGGTTTTCTAAAAATCTTGGATTTAGAGTTATATTCTGCTGCCTTAATATAACATTTTAGGTCTTATGTAGGATAATTACAATAGCGAGCTTTATAAGTTGATTTCTCTCAGTTAAGATTTTGTTGTTTCTTTCGCATTTTAGATCAAATCTTAAAACTTCTTCTATTTCATTGTTCAATCATGATTTCTAATTGAAAAACAAATACATTCACACACACATACATTGTCGTTTATAATATTTAGTAAGCACATTATAGATTTTCTGGTATTGTTTATGTCACTTTTGTTTTCTCATTTTATCAGATGGAGCTTCGAGTCGGTCACAAATATCGGCTTGGCCGAAAAATTGGTTCCGGATCTTTTGGCGATATTTATCTTGGTCAGTATGTGTGGTGATCACCAGAAGTGAATTAATTCTAAAGCAAAATAGACAATTTAGTTTGTTTCTGTTTTAATGAAAGAAAATTCAAAAATTCAGCATATTTCTACTTTTGCAATTTTTATATATGGTTAGATAGAAGAATAGATCTAAATTTTCGAAAAACGCTTCGATTTCAAAAAAGCTCCAACGTTTTTCTTTTTCGCTCTTCCAGCATTTTGAAACTATTTCTTTCACATTCAACATTAAAAACGAAGTATGAATCTGATGTGTGATCGAGGTTGAAGTCAAATGTCTATGGACGTCTTGGAATCGCCCTGTAAAAGATTCATAAACAATTTTGTAATCCTATCTCGATTTTTTGTAAAGAGATGAAGTCGAAATTTTTCCTTCATTAGAACTGCCATTGAATGCCTTTAAGAGTATAAATCGATTTTTTTATTTTGCTTCGCTACTGAGAAATTGATTATTCCTACATCAGGCAGGAAAAACTCAGAATTCTGCCTGTAATTCTCAATTGTCTCTATCAGAACTCAACTTTTATCCAATACAAATATCATATTCGGGGTCAGCATCAAAAACTGAGTCGAATGATATACTCTTTTATCCTATCCTTCCATTTTAAGTTTTTTTGAATTTTTACGTAGAAAAATTATTAAAATTTTCACCAAAAAGTAAACACGAAACAGTTCAAAATATAGATCATTCGACTCAGTTCTGACCTTGATGCCGAATATGATATTTGTATTGGATAAAAGTTGAATTCTGATGCAGACAATTGAGAATTACAGGCAGAATTCCAAGTTTTTCGCTTCTGATCTAGGAAAAATCAATTTTCTCAGTAGGGAAGTAAAATAAAAAAAATCGATTTGAAAGAAATAGTTTCAAAATGCTTGAAGAGCGAAAAAGAAAAAGATTTGAGCTTTTTTGAAACCGAAGCGTTTTTCGAAAGTTTAGACCCTTCAAGTATTTTCAATTTTTCGATATGAAAATAATTTTTTCAAACATTAGAGCGCATATATTCTTCTCTAGATCGTTGCACTCTATCCAACCATGTATAAAAAACGAAAAAATAAAAAGTTGCTGAATTTCCGGCGCCTCAAAAAGAAAAACAAAGTGCTGTAGTTCACTTTAATCATGTTTTTTGTTTTTAGGAACAAATATTGCCTCCGGCGAAGAAGTAGCAATAAAATTAGAATGCATTCGCACAAAACATCCTCAATTACATATAGAAAGTAAAATATATCGAATGATGCAAGGTGGCGTCGGGATACCTGTTATTAAATGGTGTGGCGCAGAAGGAGATTACAATGTATTAGTTATGGATCTATTAGGTCCATCATTAGAAGATTTGTTTAATTTTTGCTCAAGAAAATTTTCGTTGAAAACCGTTTTGCTGTTAGCTGATCAAATGGTAAGACTAGTTGTAAACCTATATTTACGAAATAATCGGTCACTTTTGCTTTTGTTCAATTTCAGGTCAGCAGAATTGATTTCATTCATTCAAAAAATTTCATACATCGTGATATTAAGCCAGGTAAGACGATTCTCTTATAAAAGAGCAAAAACGACGTTTGATAGAAAATGGTTTCTACCTTGAATCTATTTGTTTATTTAGATAATTTTCTCATGGGTCTTGGTCGAAAAGGAAATTTAGTTTATATAATTGATTTTGGTTTGGCTAAAAAATATCGTGATGCTCGTACACATCAACATATACCCTATCGAGAAAATAAAAATCTAACGGGAACAGCGCGATATGCTAGTATCAATACGCATCTTGGTATTGGTAAGTATTACTGATGATACTTGAGATAAAAATAGAAGCTTGTGTTGTATTCTCTTCAATTTCTTTTTTCAAAGAATATCTGTTTCACATTCAAATGATTTTTTAGTAAGTGTACGCTGTTGCTTCGCGAAAATCGCATTGAAAACGTTTACATGCAAAGAAGAAGATTGTCATATTTTGCCCAGTTATGCCCTAGAACGATCCGTACGAAGTCCAAAACTATTGCGAGAATATGTAGACAGTACATCTTTAGTGCAGATTCTAGTCTAAGTCAGCAAATATGAAAGATGCAGTGGAAAAAGATTAGATTATGTCAGTTCTGTAAAGTTCAGGGTGAAAGGTTTGACATTTTTTCAAACCAAGTTCTGATTCGCAGTGGGCATGTAGGAGGTGCAATCTTACTTATTTTTCACTAAAATATTCCTTAGTATATCCTGTATCTATAGTATACTCATAAAACCTCACAACTTTTTCTGCTGATGTTTTCTAAAAAACCCTTTGTTTTTAAGGCAATTTGAACTTTTCTACTCTTATGTTACTTTACTTAAATAATTTATATATATTCGGATTCCGCGTGAAAAACAACGTCGAGTGATATATCACTTATTAGTTTTACAAATAAAAAATTGTTGGACAAAAATTCAGGACTAGGATCCTCCTCAAAGATTTTTCATCAGAAAAGAATTTTTTTTCGAATTTGACTTTTCTTACTTGTATTAAAATTTGACACATAATAAGACAACAGTATGCGAAAATAATCATTTTTTAACTCATAAAACCAGATGTCCGCCCGCTCTATGGAAAAATGCCCACTGTGTGGTTTTCACGAGGTTATTGTACTCATGTCCTTTCCTCTTCGAAACCAAAGATGAACTTAAAAGTTTCTAGAACACTGTCATGTGAATTTTAAATCTAATTCGTTTTTACGTTTTGATTATACGTAGTGAGTTGTCAGTTTGCATTTTTGATTTGTTCCATACAAAAATCTTATCCCCCATCAACTCCTCGTTAATTTCTTTTTCATTTTTAGAACAAAGTCGTCGCGATGATATGGAATCATTAGGGTATGTGCTGATGTATTTTAATCGTGGTAGTTTACCGTGGCAGGGTTTAAAAGCCGCAACTAAACGTCAAAAATACGAACGTATTAGCGAAAAGAAAATGTCTACACCTATTGAAGAATTGTGTCGCGGTTTTCCAGGTAAGTCATCTGACATTATTATACTAGATTATCTTGTTGTGGTCTCCTTTTTTTTCTTTTTAGCTGAATTTACAACTTATCTAAGTTATTGTCGGTCATTACGTTTTGATGATAAACCCGACTATTCTTATTTAAGACAATTATTTCGAAATTTATTTCATCGACAAGGCTTTACATACGATTATGTATTTGATTGGAATATGCTCAAATTTGTAAGTTATTTCAATCACTGAAAAATAATAACTTTTGAAACACACACAAATATAGAATTATCATGTTTCTAGAATGGTCAACGTTTTGATTCCAATAGTGCAATCAATGAAGGTTCAACAGCTAAACACGAAAATGGAATTGGAAGTACAAATAATCATAATATTGGACAAGGTAATTAAACACATCAATGTGTGTGTGGGTTTTAACCTATGAATTATGCGCACGCAAATTGTAGTTAATGATGATGAGAACAAACCTGGTTTTCGCACAAGTAGTGGTTGTCATTTAAATACTACTACATGTGCTGTCCAAAATTCAGCATCATCATCTCGACTAATCGATGATTTTGCGGCCGATACACAATATATCAAACCACTTGAAGATGACAATATTCACAGTAATAGATTTCTCCATAGAAATATTTTCAATCGACTACTTGATAGTAAGCACAGCAAGGAAGCATGACATACGAGTGAGCAGTGGCTGACTGGCTGGCTAACTGTATATATTTTTCAGTTGTTTTTATTCAAATCATACCGCGTGCTTTGTTTGTTTTTGTTGCGCAAATAATGCCTTTATCTGTATTTATATTTATTCGACAAAAAAGATCCGTATATTTATTTAGAAACCGATGATACGGAAAGAAATGTCAAATCAAGAATGAAATAAAAATAGAGTTTTGTTAAGGTAGTTTTAAACTTTGAGTGACTAAAGCGTATGTGTGTGGAGAAACGCTTTTTAACAAAAGCTATGCACATCTACAGAGAAAGAGGTATATACAGCTGCTTTGGGGCTTATAATACTTTTGAAAGAAATCTGTTGGTTATTGCACTTATACTAGATCAAATATTAATAGACTATCTTCTTTTAACATTGACGCTTTGTTGCTTTGACGAATTAGAATGGTATGAACTGAAATTGTTGCTAGTTTGATGCTTTAATGGAATTTATGTAACAAAAGTTAACATTTTCGTATAAAACTTGAAAGTAGTACTCATGTCTTTCAATAGCGTTGAAATTAAAAGAAGTGTAACACAGAAACATCTTGTATGAGTACTACTTTGAAGACTTTCTTAAAATTAAATGTCATTTAATTGACTGCTAAATGTTTCTTTTTTTTTTCTCTATATGTTTCAGGCATGACGGGAGCATTTCGACGGAATTCAAAGGATGCTCATCAACCACCACCACCACCAATGCCAGTCTCATCTTTGCTACAGCAACAACAACAACAACAACAATCGAAACAACAAAATATACCATCGACAGCGACTGATACAGCACGTTCTTCATCAGCTCGTGCAACGAAAAAATAGTTTATTGTTTTTATTGCTTTTTTTTGGCGATTTGCATTTCCATTGCACACTTTTTTTTCTGTTTTTGACACATAACTTCTTGCTCACACACACACACATATATATATAAATACACACATGCGCTCAATCGTGTGAACAGTAAACACAAAAATGAGAGAAAAGGATCTATTAGATACCTCATTGCGCTCCCATTTTATTCTTCTTTTCTGGGACAATCAAAACTTATATATAATTTATAAATAAAAGAAACCAACCGCGAGTTCCCTTCTCTTTCTTTCTCTTTAATTGTGCTCTTTCTTAACTTAAAATTGTTGGCTTCCATATTTTGTAAATAATTCAAACGATTTTCTTGACAACCTCAACGCATTTCTACGTTTGTTTTTTTCTTCTTAACAACTAGCACATATTATCGTCCAATATATTTAATGTGCGTGTCTCTAGAAAAATTTTCTAGAGTGTGTGTGCGTACGTAGACGAAATGTTGTTTTTTTTCTCAATTTTTGCTTTCTCTATCTCGATTACATAGTTGTTTGCTGTTGTTGCCGCTGTTCGAAATACTTTCACTTTGAAAAACATTTGCCGTTTGTTTGTTTGTTCGTTTATTCATTTTTATTGCCAAATATAACGTTTTTTTCTCATTTATTTGCCTTCTATACAAAATATAAAAGAAAACAAAAAGATTGAAAAAAGATTGATTTTTTTATAATATTTACTGCTTAACTTTTATGATTATAACAGATGTATTATAGACTCATTGATGAGTTTAGAATACATGCGATCCTACACTCTATCATCAGTTTTGAACAGTAGACTTACTCTAAAAAATGTTTTGTTAATGGCTCTTGCGCTTTTTTCTATATCGAAAGAAAATTCACGACCTTTGTTTGAGATTAAGCAAGGAGTTTAGAATTATGACATATTTCGAAGACAATAGTCTGTTTTGATTTCGATAATAATTGTTTAATCACTTCCATCCATGAAACTGCATAATATGGCATCTGTCGATAAATAGACAATATTTGCTTAGAATGACGTGTCGTACAAGGTGATATTGTTATTATTTCCTCTCGCTGTCCCTTCTCCAGTATCTATTTTCTTTGTTTATATTCTTAGTCAGTAATCATAATTTTAATTTATATAATATGATATTAACTCTTGGATTTACTCTTACCTTGTGAGTAAGGAAAGGACATGGTGAAGTGAAGTTCATTATCGATTCTCATTCAACTAAATTCTTAAGTGAGATATATAGGTGGAAATATAAAGAACTACTCAAGCGTAAACAATAGGGATGGTTCTGAACGTTTAAGTAAGTTCAGACAAAAGTCAGTTCGATACATCGCGAAACATCAAAAAATTAGTCATAAATGAAAAGAAGAGTAAGACTACTCGTAGAGGATCAAAGCTATAATCTCTACCGTAGATTGCATTACGGTTTTCTCAGTTTTGAAATTATATATTTTTGAATAAATAATAAATTTGACTAGAATAATTCTACTAATAATGAAGAGTGATTGATTTACATATTAATAATAAAATAAGCCAAAAACTGTGACAGCACAAAAAACATCCGAATTACTGTAGACATAAGATGCATAATTATCTGTTTCTAAATCCCACAAACATCTACATGTCATCATCATATTTTCATCTTTACATTCGCCAATAACAACTTGTGTAACATATTTATATCGTTCATAATTCAATGATTTCATAGCATTTTTAACAATTTGTGATAAATCTTTTGATAATTGAGTACATTTTTCCGGTTCATATATTTGTTGTTTATCCATTGTCTCTTGAACAATATGTTCTAATAAATCTTTAACTTCTCGAGTATTGAACGGTTTCATTGGTTTACTGATGTTGGTACTATCGTCTGATGCTATTGTCTGTGAACTATAATCCATTTTAAATATTATTTTTCAGATGTAGAAAATACTCTTTTAATTACCGCAGTACAAAAGAATAATAGAATAACAAATAATTACTACAAAAAAATGCGTATTTGATTATAAAATCGCTTTATCTAATTGACAGTTACCAAGGAGATTAAAGAATATTCTTTAATTACTCTAGCTCGAAAGATCGATCTATCTAACATCACTAATACAAAATTTTACAAGCCATGTAACTCTGATTGAGAAAAACGAGGCAATGCACAACTGCTTGAAAGTCTGGTGTTTTAGATCATCATATTCTGTTTAATGAACCTTTCTTCCATAGTTCAATTTAGGGGTGGACTAATTGAATAAAATTTCTAATAGTAGCCAGATTATTTATCTTCCCATGTTCGGATAGATACGCCTATATTGGAAAAATATTCCTCAAGATTCATGTATAACGTTGTTAGAATAAGTATCAGAATTGTGAAATTGGATGGTTTTCAAGGCAACATGGACTATGCTAAAAACAAGTGATTCACAGGAAGTCGAGAGACATTAACTTTAAACGAATTCTCACTCCTTTAAGTTTCTCCTCTTTTTCAACCCAAGTATAACAGGAAATTTGAAGGCTTTGGAAACAAAAAAATAAAGGTACAGAAATTAACGTTTCTCAGGCTTCTGATTATAAACTTTAAAAGCTCACGACTTTTCGAAAAAGGTCGTGAAATACCGGGCGTGACTTTATTTTGTAGTCTAGACTTTCCTCTACTTTCGCCTATGCTCAACTGAAAATAAAAAATTCAAAAAGCGGGAGGTTAATTGAGATTTGCACTACGATGGAGATTACTATCTAGGTCACAACAGTTTGTTTTGTCGACTTCAAAAGATCAATAACGTACATATATATATATATATACAGATAGATATCTGATCAAAAATGGTCACAGAGAAGAAAAAGTGTTTTTATCTCTCTCGAAAAACAGCTTGATATCGTCACGGTGATCGGAAATTACAACTACCTGTAGTTTATGAAATTCGATGTTCGTTCTCATCCCTTATTAATTGAAATGAACATACTATTAATAAATTTCAATGACTGAAACTATCGTATGCAAGTGTCTGATATAAAACAGCTAAACTAAGACACTTGATGAAAACTTCTTCCATAGATTATCAAGAGTATGTTTACTTAGATGTTATATTGGATCTACCTATGACTATAATTAAAGTCATATTACTAATTTGAAAAACAATGGCACAGAAACATAATCTAACAGAAAGGTTCTAGTCGCGAATAATTCATATCGAAACTAAATGTTAAAATTTTGCTTTGAAATATTTCAGTCATAATGATAGTATCACTGATTAACTGTAACTGTATCGTACTAGCGAAAAGTGACCGGCCTCTTGTATGGTTAGCCTATTACGAGGTAACAACTTCAGACTTTGTCTGATTATAGTTCTCTAGATATATTAAGTTACTCATACCACTTGTCACCCATCTGGCTACGTAGTTTCTATAGTATTTCATTCTTGTTAATATCTTGTGAACTGAATGGTAGATTATTTACGGTATAGATCTCACGTGTTAACTCTTACGGGTTGGAAAATTACAGCTATTATACTGTAGACAGTCATTTTTGTTAAGATTTTATTCGAGAAAACGCTATAACTTCACTGAAAACATTATTCTGACTTGAAATTATCAGGCCTAAGAGCATTAGTCATACAAAATTTCAAGGTTAAGTACTGAACGGATCAGAATTTACTAACTATTGTTATTATGTACCATGATCAACACCTTAAAAATTCTCAAATTTATTTTGTCCATATGAAAGTTAGCGTTTATTCTATTACGTTCAAATTTTCATATATTATTATGTTAGATGGTGTAAAAGAATGATAGAGCGATCGAATTTGTTCTCTCACGCATATACTCTCCTGTTATGTATATGAGTGACAATATAACGGCTTGATGTTTAATTTTATTGTGTTAAAAACAAACAATTTTTCAATAATCTATTTAAAAGATAGAGATAATAATATACGCTATTCACACTATACAACTAATTTTTAATGTCACAGCCGTTTTTCGTTCATTTTGTGTTTCTTTCTGCGAGAAAATAACATCCAATAGATAAATCAATAGAATATAGTCAAGCTGTCAAGTGAAAAGAAGATTGAACGCTTTTGTTAACTATAAAATTATATATAAACGATGGAATTATTCATAACTGAGAATCATTTCATTCTCACAAAACAGTAAGTAGAAACTAAAATTGTACGTACAAAATAGATACTGTTCGAACAGCCTCGTGGTAGATTTAGATTCCACAAGTTGCTTATCGAACAGAAAATATTTTTATGATAAATACAACAATGATGCACTTTATTGACAGAAAATTAATTTAGAGATTCAAATAGATTTGGAATATTCCTTTCAGACTTTTATCACCGGTCGTCGAGGACCGTTTCGATATTCAGATAACGATCTCTACGGATCCGGTGTTAAAAAAGAGGATAACTTCATAGATAGCAATATTTATTTAAAGGTTTTTACCATTTAGAAATAATGTGGCGTGAGAGTTGGCATTTAGGTTTTACTGGTCACGGAACGTACAGATATTGCTCTTTAAGAGCCATGTAATCAACAACTCTAAAGCTCGTAAAAAGAAACCCTCGTGAAACCTCGATAAATTTTGAAAGATATTAGTGGATGAACAGCACTGACCCATATTGAAATTTGATAATTCTGTACTCAACCTAGATAGAACAAAAAAAGAAACCTGTCGATGCAGTCCATTGAAAATAAAAGGCTTCCGTTGAATAACTTTTGAGCGAGAAACAATAAAAAAAATGGGAACAACAGGGATTTTTTAGAACCGCTTTAGGTGGACAATGGACGCAGGGAAATTGTACAAGAGAGACAAAGTTGAAACTACGAAAATCGAAAAGAGCATAGTTAATGAATGATAATAGTTGTTGTGAATGTTCGAAAAAGCCTACTTTCAAAAATGACCCGATTTTAGTAGAAAAAAGGACAAAAACCTTGGTTTTCTCTCTGTTGCACAAGTTTGGTACGTTCACAATTGTGATATACAGATATAGGGCAGTTCTGTATGAAAGTGAAGACGGAACGTTTTTGTCGTTTCTCGTTCAAAAGTTAACCAACTTTCCAAAAAGCGTCTTAAGTTTATTAATGGACTGTATTTGTTTAATTTAGATTTGAGCAAAAATACATTGATCTTTCATGACCGTCTCGCGGCCTTGGAAATATTATTTAATGAACTTTATTTAGCAGCGAGATGACAACAGCAGATCAGCTATAACGGTGATTTAATGCATGTTCTAAAAATCTATCTACTGTTTCATACCTGCCTCGCTTTGATCACGAATATAAGCAGCAAGATGAAATAGTACACGGATTATAGAGTCAAACTGACACTCTAGTGGAATTTCTGGTACACAAGATCTTATAAACAAATTTCAAGACCTTGGGGGAAAGATTTTCTTTATATTTTGTATTCATGTATGATCGGCCGCAAACAACAGATATACGTCCTTATATAAGCATAGGCTCTTCCTTAAACAACTATAATCAAGCGAGAGATGTGTAAAAAGGTTTTCCATAACTACGATTTTCAAACTTATTCACTCTGTATACTGCCTTGACTCTAACAGATGCTCTACTGAATGTACAAGTACTTGATTATTGGCCGAGTAGTTGGATAGTCCTTAACAATATTTCTCACTATGTATTACAAGAGTTTGTCAAGTGTTGTTGCTTCCCAAGTTGTTGTCTAAGTACTGCTATTTAATTTGCTTCTAGTCAATCAATCTTTTGTTTTGCATTGATCAGTCGTGTATAAACATCACATTATTAATCCGTATAAAGTTCGAAAATAAATTTCGATATTCCTACTGAGTTGAACAACCTTTGTAGCCATGCATGCGTTTGCTCTACAAAAGTAGAATATGGCTGCAGGACGATAAATGGAACAAATACTTGTCTGAAATGTTTTTTGCATATGGAAGCGTAAAAGTCATTTTTCTCGATTCCTGTTTCAGCTGTAAGGTTATAGAAGACATTTTCTTGTGTCACTCGATGATCTATATAACTAGACTGGTTTTATGTGAAGCAGAGCAACTCACTAACGATGGATTATTTCAAATCAGTGTCTTGAGATCCAGAAGCATTATATTACACGCTACGACGAAAAGTCTAAAACAATTCCTGTAACTGATTGTTATGTAGAAAGAAAAGTTCATACTAGAGTTAGTACTAATTGAAATCTCTGAGTTTTTCGTTTATGGTCTTTCATCGACTCCTAGAATGAAGTACACGAATAGGTGTGCGCAATGAATGTATCCGGTGGATTAATAAATGACTATCAACTTGCTGAAATTTATGCATCAGAATTCGGATTGCTGAACGCTACTCGAGCATTAACTAAAGTTAAATTTACTCTAACTTTTCTTAGTAACGGTAACTATAGAGAGAAGTCTATAGAGAGAAAGAAATTACTAGCAGGCGGTATATTTTGTCAAGTTTTAATCAGCTGACGGGCAGCGACATCATCGGTGTGCATAGCAAGGCACTGCTAGAGGTAACTCGATGGAAATAACGCTATTAATGATACATGTCTACAGCTGCCTATGTTGTTTACAAATCCCGATCAAATATTGAAAGATTAATAAAATGATCTAAATCTTTTTTTCAACTATGGGTTAATCGATTATCCATAGTGTATTTGCCCCAAGTCTAAGTTCTATATCTCAAGTCTTTGTTTATCCATTGGGAAAAGGTGAAATATGCGAGTGTTTAAAACGGTCGAAATTATCCGCTTACCTACCGGTTTCACAGTTTATTTAATTCACAGAAGCCATCATTCTTAGAAGTATTGAAGGTTCTCTAGTGTTCGATTACAAAAGGATTTTACTAAAATCTTTTTATAGCCCAACACTAGGGAACATTTCTTTATAATACCAAATCATTTGGTACTATAAAGAAATAACGCTTGAGAATAATGTATTATTAAACTGAGAAAAAAAATTGAAGATTTTTTCTCGAAGTGGAATATTCTAAAAGAGTTTTAAATTTTTACTCAGCTTCGTATGACATGATTTAAATCAGCATTTATATCTTCTTCGAAAATTAAAAGATTCCCTACATCTGACAGGTATATCAGGAGTCTAATTTATTAGATGTAAGCGGCACATTTATTGTTCTTGGTAGAATTTTTTCTCTATTACGTTTTAATGGGAGTTTCAGGTTAAAACTTCAAAAAATTTTGTCTTAGGCTTTCAAAGATAATTATATGGTACGTTAAAACACAATCACAATTTGAAAACTTTACCTCGTTTATTTGAGCGTTTTGGTCTGTGCTTCTGAGTAAAAAAGAATTGCGGAATATATCGCATCAGTTCAGTTGCAGATGTTCTAGTACCTTACTAAACAATATCATTGGTAAAATCAGCGTCAAGAAGTGATGCTGTCTCTTCACTAGTACATTTTAAGGCTTGTATAAAAAGGTTTAGAGAGTCGCACTGAGTTCTGATATATCTATCTCAACAAATCTGTTATTTCATTTGGAAATCTTAGAAAAAGATTGATATTGTATGTTTACATACAATATTAAATGGATGGTGAGCGCTGGTATATATTCTCGCTATATAGGGAGAATATATACTAGAACTCATTATCCTTTTTAGAATTTTCAAGAAACTCTTTCAGAAACTTTCAAAAGTTTATAGAAGTTCAAGTATGATGTTCTGAAAACTGACAATTTACGCCACAGATTGAGGAGTTCTCCAAATCGAGTATTGTTTGAAAAAATTAATATTTTTGTAGAAGGGAGTTCATTGTGAAGATCTGTAAGTGGATGATTTTAGCGGTCATTGCTTATTGATTGAGATACTAAAAATAATAAGAAAGAAATAAGTGCATAATAAGATGTGAGTGACCATCTTAACAAAAATAATAAAAAATTATCCTTATTTACTCTAGTTATATAGTATTTGAAGGTATTTTTTGAGTAGCTGTGAAATTATTTATTCTATTTGTTGAAGTGTTTTAGAATACATGTTAAATAATTTACTTCAAAAACATATTTCCTATTCTGTCGTTTATGTGTTGTTCGTATTTTGTTTTTTTTCTTCACCTTTTCTTATAACATTCGATGATTCGTCAATCGTTAATTGATGAACGTCATAGTGATTTAGCTCTATCGGATTCTACAAACCGTCGTTTACATCGTATAACAGCGTTTGGAGATAAAAATCCTTCACATTTACATATAAGGAAAAACAATCGTTTAATTAATAATAACAATACAAATGATCAACAATCACAGGAGACAACAGACTCTTCGCCTTCTAGTCAATATTATGAGCAGCAATCTGACTTTAGTCCGTTTAGTCCAAGTATCGATCCTCGTCAAAGAATAGATCATTTAGAACGAAATATAAAATATATTCAACAACAGCACGAGCAAACTTTGCAAGATTTACATCATGAAGTAGACAGATTACAGCAAGAAAACAGAGGTATGTGAGCTAATTTCTGATTAGATAGGTTTCGATTTTAAACTGAACCTTGATTGTTATTTATTATCGCTGACGTGCTTCTTGTGAAAGACTAATGATAAAGACCACTATCCATAATAAAATAGAATGGTTGTGGGTGTTTTTGAAATAACGTTTGATAGAAAGAAGCTACAGTGCTTTGATTTTTGTTAGTCGAAAGAGGAAACTTGGGAACATGCATTACAAGCAGAAGTTTTTTTTGAAACAAAGGCTTTTTTTATCTAATACTAAAAAATTCTCAGTTTACTCAAAGAACGACTTCAAGACTTTAGAGACGGTTAATTTTTTATTATAAAATCGAAAAATTGTTTTATTTTCAAAATTTTTTGTCCATAGGTTCTCTAGAAACTCTTTTGAAAAAACAAAGCATTTTATAAACTATTTTTTGTAGATTTGTTATAAATAGAATATAAAATAGCACGATACTGTACACCCTGATGTTTTAAACTCGCTCCTATATTCTTTGAGTGACTATTGAGTGATTTAGTGTTAGGTGAAAACATCCGGAAAATCTTAGTTTTCGAGAAACGCGACTTTCGTTGGGTTTTAAAATCATTTTCCAAAAACAAATATTGTCACGAGACTCCACATGCTTCATTACCTATAGTCAGCCCGTTTCTGAGGTTATTAATAGTCATCGAGTACGGTTCCGGCGATTACAAGAAAATCCGATATATCCGAACCACCGAAAATCAAGGTCTCACTTGACTTCAGTTTTGAAGAGGATATTATGGGCGATCAGTTTATAAGAAAATCAAAAAAAAAAAATATTTTGTAAGTACTTGAGACACAGTTGTGTTTACCAAAGATCTAGAAAACAAAACTATTTTAAAAAAACTTCTTCTAATTTAAAAACCACCCGCGATCATTCTATTTTATTATGAACAGTAATACCATCATTTCAGTTCAAACCAACGTTTTGACTCAGTTCACCACGCAGCAGTTAATCTTATCCTGTTCGATATCATATCTCACAGACGTTCCGTTTGATTCAGAAAAGGTTGCTTCTTGATATTGCGTGTTTTTCCATTGAAAAACTACAGGAAGAGTTTTTTTTTGCTACTGAATACATGCCTACAGCAGAGTTACATGGCTGCATTGACAGAAAACTAGAGATTACGCTTCACCAAATATTTCATGGTGAAAGGGAAGATAAATATTGATTTCGACTAGTATGAGTAATCAAGACCAAAAATAAAGGCTACATAGTAGATAAAAAAGCTTCTCAGCGTTGCTCCGCTATGGGACTAAAATGTGTAACTTCTCTAACACTCTGTGAGGTATAGCAGTGGTCAATTAATCTATGGGTAGTACACTGTTATCTTTACGAAGAGAGTGCTATGTGTCGGTCGATATCGCTGAAGAAAATCTATTGCGAACCCACTTTTAAACATATAAAAGATTCATGTAATGTAATAGTTCATGCTCATAAGTCATAAACGGTCATGCATGTGATGGAGGGCAACTATAGGGAAAAGAAGAAAAGGCTCAGTTTATAATCTATAATACAAACTGCTCCAGTAAACATAACAATCCACGATTAAGAGGTACACATGGTATAGATAGAAAACAAATAACGGCAGTCCTCAGCAAGTTCATCAACGTACCTAGTCGTGGCTACCGAAATGTCATAAAACATGCAAAATCTGTTACAGAGAATGTAAGATGTTCAGGGAAATTGGCGTTGAAATATGGCGTTGAAATTGCTTCTAAAATATGATCAACTGATAAATTATGCAACCAACTGGTGCTTGAAGTTAGATCAGAAAAAAATGTAAAATTTAGTAATGTAGTTCACAATGATATGATCAAATGTTATTCTTTCAACTGAGCAAAGTGTGTTAACAGATTATGTAGACCACATACTGAGTTTTATTTTTAAAAAATAAATATTCAACATCGTTGTTTTCGTTGTCGTTCATCAAAACCATGTAAAAATAAAACTGGCTATATGGTCTACATGATCTGTTAACACACTTTAGTCAATTGAAAGAATAACATTTGATCATATCATTGGGTCGCATCGAAAGAAAAAAGATTAGTAGAACATAATTTTAAGAACTACATTACTAAATTTTACATTTTCTTCTGATCTAACTTCAAACACCAGTTGGTTACATAATTTATCAGTTGATCATATTTTAGGAGCAATTTCAATGCCATATACCCAATTTTCCTGAACACTATTAGGAAATGTATGCATTTCCTGATTTCCTATATTCCCTGTCCACATAAGAAATTATGACTTTACTAATATTAAGAATTTAGCATAATCCCCACGTCTCACCTTTAAGCGTTTCACAAATGCTCTAATTCTCTTAAATCTAAGAGTTCTCTGCTTTTGCTTGAGTAGAAAGATCGAAATACTATAGTTTTTACTAGACGCATATTATTTTTGTTCTAGTACTTCATCAGATTTCTACCATTGTAGCATATCACTCTCAATTAGCAATGAGATAAAAACGGTTGATTTATATCTTTATTGTTTCTAATAATAAGATCAGCTGCGAACCATTTTAAGCCCTGCATAAGGAAAAGCGTCAAGCAAAAGCGAAAACAACACAAACTAGAGACATGGCGTGGACTAATTTAAAGTTTATTAAATTTTGTTAACGTTCTACTAGCTAATCATCAAATCGGTTAGTTTGTTTAACGTAAAATACAACTACTTTTAAATATAAAAACGGTTAATTTGAGTTTATTAATTTTTTTAGATCTACATTTTCATCTGATAAATATTCGACCATCTTCGAGAAATAATAACTCGGATGTTTTATCACAAATAACAACAATAACGGCAAATGGAACGGTGGATCGTAGTCGAACGAAAGCAATGGGAACAACAACAAGAGCACCAACTGTGGCTCAAATGGCTGATTTATCTAAATTGGAAACAAATTTAGGTGTGTAACAATTAAACTGAAAGCATCCTTCATATTTTCTAATTGATTATACGCATCCTGCAATTGTTTCAAATAATTTGCTTTTTAGGAAATATTTTAGTCGAAGGTAAATAAAATGTTATTATGAATTATCTAGCTAGTAAAACAGATATACGCGTTCAAGCACAAGTGGTGTTTTGTTTGCACGCTGTATTAAGCATGAATAATTTTGTGTAATGCACAAGGATTTTATTTAACAACCAAATAAATTTTGTAAATACGCATAAACTCTGATTTGTTGTTGTTTCTGTTAATACAGTATGACACCGTATAGTCCAAAAGACTCGATATAGATGGATCAGAAGTTGATCAGTAACAAAGTTATCAGATTGTTGATCATATTAAAAAGAATCACGAGAGTTACATGCGTGCATAATCTATTCCGACTGCTGTGACGAACTTTTAGACTTGTATTGGATATATAGGTGTTATTATAAATAAAAAGAAATGATTTAGAATGGGTGCATTGCGTTGTTTATAAATTCGAATTTTTAAGGGTTGAAATATGAATAATGATATTTCTTGTTTAGAAAAACGTTTACAAGAAGTGCAACGGCTGTATTTTGAAAAACAAATTGAAGAATTGAAACAAAAAGTAGTTGAACTGGAACGAAAAAATGAATATTTAGTGAGAACAATTGATGATTTAAAAAAACGAACTGTAGCAGTTCTGTCAGTACCGCCAACGGTGACATTTCAACCATCGCCACCACAACCATTATTTCCAGAAATGTAAAAACTCAGGATTTCTTGATACTTCTTTTTCTATTTCTACTATGTTTTTAAAGTGATAAATCTATTAAAAGTCAAGATACACAAATGGTACCGATAACGCATAATAAATTATTCTCACCAGTTAGTTTATCATCGATAACAAGTCTTGATCCATTACAAGTGACAATTGAACCAAATTCTGTTTCACGTGAGCCAACACCGGAAGAATGTATACAATTGATTAGAGTAGCACATGAAGCATATAAAAACCAAGTACAAGAGGTAGACACATTCTCTTATTTTCTGAATAAAATATGTTCTGCTATTCTATTGTAGATATCGGTGATGAAAGCTATCTTGAAAGAATTATTACGTAATGAGCATTTAAGTTTAACTTCTCGAACATTAGTTCGTGATTGTTTAGCTGCAAGTACATCATCGGATATATCATTTAGTCAAAAAACAGCTCGATTTGTTCCTAACGATGGTCTTATCAAACGACAACTATCATCAAGTAGTAAACGAACAACGGATTATCTTCATGCTAGACACCTGTAAGTGCTAACAACACAAATTTTTTTCACATTATCTTCATTTTTCCTTACACACAACAGTGAAAGTCGTGGAACAGTGCGTCTAAGACGACTCACACTTTCACCACCGAATTTGTCGATGAACCTATTGAGTGGTTGGAGGTAATACAATAAATGATTTCTGCACCTATGCCCTCTGACACCGCTTTTCATAATTAACCATTGTCTATCACGTGGCTGTTTATTCAAATGCAAGAGTATATTGATTAATTGCTAATGGCTATCGTAATATCGGCTCTCATTTCTTCACACCGCTTTTATTGAATAAAGTTGTAAACACCGTATATCTTTATATTGTAAATAGCCCAAAGACAGGAAAAATACATTTATTATCAGAGTTAAACAAAAAGAAGAACCCCCGAAGTACTATTAAGTGAAAAGATATATCACTGTGTTTTGAATAACTTCTGAAGCACGGGGATGCACACATCCAGTTTCGTGATTCGACAGCCAAAACTGGAGTACGTGATTGTACGAAAAAAAACCTTCAGAATTCTTTGCAAATATTGGTTTTCGATGACATCTTTAGAAAGTCAGATAGGTCTTTCGAAAGTTCCCAACCAAACATTTCATTTTTTCTTTCATAGTCAGAACTGTTTTCCGAAATGAGAACTCTTCGGAATCTTCATCAATTATGGTTTCGACTTTGTATTGGATTTTCTGGAAGCTCCTTGACTAGTCTTCTCTAAGTTCTAATGATTTTAAAAACTGATCACCGATCTATTCAGCTGACTGGCTAACGATTCACAGTAAAAAATGCAAATATTTATATGGCAATTTATGGAATGCCAAACTAATTTCGAAAGATCTTCTCAAAAATCAAAGTGCAGAATTGCATTTGATAATTTATAATTGAGCTCTAACACACATTATCTAACACATCATTATTCTTCCAGTTGGAACAGACCAATGCTAAACACAAACTGATCATCTTAATGCAAAGCAATCGTTCAAATGTGAAATTGCTTTATACTCTATCTGAGAAGATAAGGAGTGAATACTTTATAATCTTCTCATAATGTCAAAAGATGTACCCTTCACATTTCAATAACTTGTAGGTAAAGAAATGCGAAAATCTCTTGTAGTCTGAAAAGATGAGTTTGTTGTTGTTCATCGAGATGAGACAGATGAGGACGTTCAATCAAGGCCTTTAGAAAACAGTCTTTTGCCAAGTAGAAGAAGATCATGATTACAGAAATGGTTTTTTCCCGCATTAATCAATAATCAAGTGTGTAGGAATTATGGAAATGGCCCCATCTTGTATAAATTGCATCCCCCAGAAAATGGTTGTTGCGAGTGGAGGGAGATAAATTTTAGCTGTTGTATCTTTTTTTTTCAGAAGTTATTCAGAACGCCATGGTATATCTTTTAACTTGAAATCGATAGTAGACTGAAGCATTTAATATTCAGTTTTTGCTCTGCTCGTTTGGAAAAGTATTTATAGACGATCTCATAATACATGTCCTATGCTTACTTTTAGTCGTTCTACGTTTCTCATCTACTCTCATGATAGGTATCGGCGTCATGGCAAAAGCTAGGAAGAGTTTGTAAGGCTCCACCTAACTTGTTCGAATCTTGATTTGTATGTACAAATGATTTATTGAGAAATCAAAAAACCTCCTAATACAGATACAAGCCCGTGTATATATAGCCGAAAAAAATATGTAAGAAAAGATAACGTAACAGAAAAACATGATAAAACATAATATAAATAATAATATCATAGGAAGGCATGATGCGATAGTGATATATGAGAAATACATTTCCTGACTCTTTTATGTCTGTGATAGTTTAAGACGCAGTCCATTTTAGGTCGCATGATCTAACAGAGTTGGCAGTCTATTTACAGGACTAATTTCATGATTCCTCTTTCGTGATGCCACCGCCTAGTTATATTTTTCTGGTTCAACTAAGGTTCTTTTGGGAGAATCTCAATTGTTTATAATTTTCTTTTAAAGTGGTAGCACCCGTCCATCAGATCGCTTGATTCTTCCACCTATTCAACAAGGTTCGACACCAATTCATGAATCGCCACTTCATCATCACCATCGCAAATCTGATACTAATACAGGTATTTTTGAGTTTAATAAAAAATATAAAATAGTACATCAATAACAGTCCAACATGGAAATCTTTTTTTACTTCAAAAGTCAGTACAGGAATGATTTTCGTTCATCATCGAACCGGTATTTTTTACTAAAATGATTTCTGTAAGGATTTACAAGAGAATTTAGTGAATTTGCTGGATTTTCTCTACGACTTGGTCAGCTAACTCTGCTACCGGAATGGAATTCAGTAACACTTTTTTGCACTGTATTTCTTTTATAATTTTCAAGTGATGACGAGCTCGGGTCTGAAATTCATGAGAAAAGTGTGCTGAAGATTTTGTGGTGTACGCATACATGCTTTTCAAAACTAATCAGAAAAACTAGGTGTCTGTATTTTTGTCATATTTTCTGAATGAAATTCTTGTGTAGAGCATGAATATAGCGAAAAATTTTCAGCGTAGTTTTCTCATTAATAAACGAAACAAAGTGCAAAAAATCGTTATGAACTTTTCACTCCAGTAGAAGAGTTAGGTGGTCAAGTCGTCTATTAAATTACTTTCAAGTTTCACTTAATGCTTAATATAAATTCGGTTTTCCTCTGTCGAAGAGCGTTTACCTATTCCGATTTTTTCACTAATGTGAAGAGTACCTTCTAACTTCAGTATCCACCAGAGCTCCGTATGGAGGCAAAATCCTCGGTCCAGTCCATGGACTCTAGAGAGATAGTTTTTTAGTATCTTTTAGCTGTTTTTTACTGATTTTTCCTCGATTTAAGTGGATATACAAGATTTTTTTTCGAGTGCACGGTCTTGAAAGTTTGAGTTCAGCCCATACAGAGCTCTGGTACCCACGTCTTTTTGAACAGTACATAAAAAAAATGTGATAACAGCATTCGACATATTCATCTAACTACGGAAAAATATTTTACAGCATAAATAAGTTCTTGTGTAGAAAATTTTAAACGGAAAATCCAATTATAAATGTATTTTCAGTATAGATATATATCATTTCGATAAAACAGTTTATTTTTCATCATGTACACTAATATCTGTCTTTCCTAGATAATTCACAATCATTGAACAGTTTACTTAATCAATCGATCCAACAACAACAAGCTAATTCGCGATTTAACGAAACAACAGTAGCCAGACGCGAAAGACGAACACAAGAATTACAGCGAATACGTTTAACAAGGAATCTTTACCATTAGCACTTTTAACTATGTGCATATTTGAGGGTATATGTTTATGCTGGTGCTTGCTTTGATGATACTTTATTTGTGATTTATGTCATTTCTATTCTTAACTGTATTTTCTTTTTTTTAGTATGCTTTCCTTTTTCAAAATAATAATAATGAGAATAATAATAATTCATTCTGAAATCACCACTTTTCTTCAACTTATTTTCTGTTTTCTTAGGGCATTCATCAAATTCGATTAGAAGCTTATTTGAAAAGTGTTTGTGACTAGTTCTCTTCGTCACGGATACCGATAAAATTCTAAAACAATCGTTTTTTTATCAATTCATTTTTTCTGGATCAGGAACGAAAAACTTGGAATTCTGCCTGTAATTCTCAATTGTCTGCATCAGAATTCAACTTTTATCCAATACAAATATCATATTCGACATCAGGGTCAGAACTGAGTCGAATGATCTATATTTTGAACTGTTTCGTGTTTACTTTTTGGTGAAAATTTTAGTAATTTTTCTACGTAAAAATTCAAAAAAACTTAAAATGGAAGGATAGGATAAAAGAGTATATCATTCGACTCAGTTTTTGATGCTGACCCTGAATATGATATTTGTATTGGATAAAAGTTGAGCTCTGATGGAGACAATTGAGAATTACAGGCAGAATTCTGAGTTTTCCCTGCCTGATCTATTGAATCAATTAATAATTAATCAATACTGAATCAATTTCTCAGTAGCGAAGCAAAATAAAAAAAATCGATTTATACTTTTAAAGGCATTCAATGGCGGTTTTAATGAAGGAAAAATCTCGGCTTTATCTCTTTACAAAAAATCGAGATAGGATTACAAAATTGTTTATGAATCTTTTACAGGGCGATTCCAAGACGTCCATACTAGATAGACATTTGACTTCAACCTCGATCAAACATCAGATTCATACTCAGTTTTTAATGTTGAATGTGAAAAGAATACTTTCAGTTTGAAGACCGAAAAAGAAAATCATTTGAGCGTTTTTGAAATCGTGTTTTTGGAAAATTTAGACCATTCAAGATATTTTCAATTTTTCAAATATTAAAGAGCAAATTTTCTTCTCCAGCTTGATGTGCTCTATCCAACCCGATATAAAAAATGCAAAAATAAAAACTTGCCGAATTTTCGAATTTCCGGCAGCTTAAAATGAAGTATGATAAAATGAAACTTTATGATCTAAATTCTTCGTTAAATGAATCGTTGTTATTTATTTATTAATCATCTGTTTATATATATCCACAATCATCGGTTAAAAACTTGATTATTTTATTTGATCAACAAGCTACAAAAAGAAAAAGAAGTAGCATAAAATAATTTTATTATTTGTGCATGACGTTGTAAAACATGACACAACTCGGTTAAAGAGGACAATCTGCCAAGTTTCATTTTTCGGTTCTCTAAGGGTTGTTGTTTTAACCCATTAGAGGTCTTGTACGCTTTGAATTTTTAAATGTATTATGTATGTCTCTGCCCATCAGTGGTCGTTTATTTCGTCTTTCATGTGAATTGTTATCATCCGCAGTTTCTAATGATCGTCCTAATAACGGACGTCGACGTTTTTGTTGTTGTTGTTTGAGATAATTATGGAATAACATCAATGATGAATCTTGTGGCTGTACATTTTCCCTTTGTTCTTGATCCTTTTGCAGCAGACTGTGTTCGCCTTCATCACTGGCCAGAGATTCTGAACTTTGTGAATTAACCGTAATTGACTAGAATAGATAAGGGAAAAATGTGAACGTTTAACAAATCTAAACGAATTAACTAAATTTTTTTATTAAAAATACTTGACATCTACTTCTAAATTGGAAGATAAAACGCGATATGCTTTCGGAATTATTTATCCTCATTTATTTCAATTTTTCATGTACTTGATACGTTAAGCCAAACTATACAGAAACTTTTGGAATTTCCATGAGATGAAACCACTTGGTTTAAACACCTATGCTTTATATTGAAAAAGCATTTTGGACTGTGATTACATTCGAAATTTTGTAATCAATTGCAACATGTGAATGAGTCGGCAATTCGACCAAAGTTTTGTTTCGTTCGACTAACTCATACATATATAAACCCAGGTCAGTCGGATCCGACCCGCCTACGACGAATCCCGGTCGTATCCGATGGGGATTAGTAGGATGCGGTAGGTTCCTACATCGAATGATCTGGCCGGTCGAAAGCCTGCAAAATTTGGGAATCAATGAGCCTCAAATACCAATCAAAATGTAACAATTGGCGCTCCAGAATGAATTTATGAGATCTCAAATTTTTTGAGCCTGTGTATGGCTTAAAATCTCATTTGTGAGCTGTTGAGCGATCAGTCGATGAATGAGGTGTTTTTTATCTGCCTCCTTTTCTGCTCCTGTGATACCTATATTCTCCATGTTTTTTGACTCATTATTATTTTCATTTAGAATATTTTTAAGGTAAAAGCCAGTATGTATTTAAAAATGACAAGTGAAAACAGAAAAATCTTTACACAAATAATTTTTCATCTTTACCTAACAACACAAATACACCGTTGTTAATCCAGTGCGTGTCGTCTAACAGACTACCCATAGGGTCTAACAACAAAACACCCTTAACAACAAACTACCCTTAGGGTAGTTTGTTAGACGACACGCATTGGATTGACAACGGTGTATTTGTGTTGTTAGGTAAAGATGGTTATCGCTTATTGATCAATAAGCATATTATTGGTCACAAACAGAAAAAGCAACAATCTCAGATATATATAGTCACGTACAACATAACAAAAACGAATTTAATTACGATAAAAGATGTTCATAATCAATATTAAAGTCATTCGAAAATGAAAATGACGGTGGATATCACGGCTAAACGTCACTTACTTCCTAATCCTTTGAAGAAACGTTCCCAATTCCAGGTTTATTCCGCTAAGTAGATTAAAGTGGGGAAAACTTTACGTGAAATGAATTAGTTCATTTATATGGGGCGTGTATCTTGCCCATTCTGTATGTGGCCGGGTGAAATAGATTATTTATAAGTTTTTCTAAACTGAAAAATTTATTTACACACAATGTATCTCTATCACTCTCATTCGTTAATAAAAAAAGTGTACATTGAATATTTAATTGCTTTATTAGTGGAAAAAGAAAATTTGTATTTTATAACAACAAATTCAAGTGATCGTTTTTGTATGCTTTTTTCCTCATTATTTCCTTGCATTCTCTCTATCCCACTGTATTTTATTTGTGTAGAAAAAAATGGGAAACAATGAACAAAGTATTAAAAACTACCTCATTATAAGCTTTTCGAATGTTTAGTATATTCTATATGCTAAATACATAATTATAATGGCTGATGACCTTCCAGATGCTAGCATAATTGCTAGAATTTGTTTGCTGTTTAGATAAAGAAATTTTTATAGTCTACCAGTTTGATATTTCTCTTCTATCATTACACCTTATTTTCTCGTGACTAATCCGATTGAGGGGTTGGAATCAGCCTTATACATTTTATATTTTTATAGAACTAGCAGAATAAGAATTTAAATGTACAATCATGCCAAAACGTTTTAGTATCAATTGACCTCTATTGAAATAAACAGTCACTGATAATGTTCCTTTTTTATTGTTCTATCGACGTTTATCATACTTTCTTTATATGTTGAATGTTATTAGAAGTTGTATATAATCTTTTTTTACTACACACTGTTGATACACAAGTCTTCTTAATATTATGTAACATTATTTATAAATCAAGCGCTCTTATTTCAGAAAAATGAAAATGAAACTAACACTTTACATTGAGCGAGTATGTAAAGCTTTCGATAGAGTCGTCATTCTAATGAAAACTGTACATTTTTCAGGAAACCAATTGCAATAATCAATCAATATGGATTTCCACGTTAAAAATGAGGACACAAAAACTGTCAATTATCTTCAACACGTAGATTATAATCACTAGTATGAGATTGATCATAACTAGAGTTTGAAGTTGAATACATCCAAATTTTAAATATTCATGAAATATATTATCAGATACTCTTATTGTTTTTATTAAACTTCACTTTCCAGTTAGAAAAAATAATTTTCTAGTGTGTATGGTTACCATTAAAAGATCACAAGGCATATAATCGATGAAATCCCCTAGTGATTAGTGTTTCAAACATAACTGAACATAAACGCCCATCATTCAAAATTAGAAAATTTAATTTTTCTTATTTTGTTCTTTTCTGTTTCCAATAATTCAAAAACTTGTATAAGAGAATAACACTTATAATTTACTTTTTTCTGGTGTCTATCAGGAACCCGTCTAGGAAAAATGTTCGCAATCGAGATCAATTGCACTTTGTTTGTTCCTCCTTTAGATAATCATTATATACTATACGTGTTTCTTTTTCTATGAATTTTTCTCTTTGAGAAAAAGCAGTGACAAAAACATCTTTTTTCTAGAATATTATTAAAACTTTTATTTAATGTATGTTTTAGATATATATGTCAAAAATTAATATATATACACTATTAACTTATTATTTTTTGATCTAACGATTTTTGTTATTTCTCACGCAAATATCGGTCATTATACACGCAGTATGGCATCGCTCCTAGCCAATATATTAATACTTATAACATTAACTCTAATATGTAAGGTATGTAAACGAAGGAGACTTCAACAATATCATACGATACTGAGACATTACATGTGTTAACTTATTAATCAGTATTCGATAAAACGATAATATCAGCACAAAAATAATGAATAATAACAATAGCAAACATCAAATTCGCCAAGCCTTCGACGTTTGTCGATTGATAGCATGTCATTTATCACCCTCTACTAGCAACAACCATTTTCTGGGGGATGCAATTTATACAGGATGGGTTCATTTCCATAATTCCTACAACACTTTAGCTCCTGATGGATAGTGTGATGCACTTGACTATTGATTAATGCGGGGAAAAACCATTTCTGTAATCATGATCTTCTTCTACTTGGCAAAAGACTGTTTTCTAAAGGCCTTGATTGAACGTCCTCATCTGTCTCATCTCGATGAACAACAACAAACTCATCTTTTCAGACTACAA